GCGAATGGGTCTGTTTGTGAGCACTTATCTATTGTCTTAGTGTAAGCTTGTGTGTGTTTAGTCGTTATTGAAATGTGTGTGTGGGAGCTTTTACACATATGCAGGGGGTAGTAGCTTCTGTTGCTTTGAAGTGCCCTCTTTTGAAGTTCTGGTAAAAGCAGTTGAACAGAGAAAAAACATTTTGTATTTCTCTGTCAAATTGAAAACTTGACCTGTTCGGTTTTACTCACTTCAAATCTCATCATATCTTCTAATGATTGTTTCTCAACCTAAAAATAACTGTGGAATGGAAGACAGGTCATCAAATGCATGAAATACTTAAAAACCTATTTGCCAATGAAAATGACTTTGGTAGCACTTCCTGTTGTTCACTGTTGTGACTACATCAGCTGATTTCAGGAGAACAGTGACTGAAGAACGCTGCAGATCACTGACATGTAAAACTGGAAAAACAACACTCTTATGGTGTATTTGATAGTGTGACAATCAAGACACTTCACAGCTTTTAGGTGCCGCAGGCCAAACACTGAAATGTGATTCTCAGGTCAAATGGTAGACCTGACGCTACAGACCATTTTAGTGGTTCAGAAATAAAGTATGCTGACCAATCTCTACTAGAAACAGGACATAAACAAGTACGAGATCCTCTGAATGTCGTAGTCACAGTCAATTGTCCGTAAATAAAATGAGAAAGCTGACCCTTAGCCAGCTGTTTATTTCCCTGTCTGGAGTTCTGGTTTGTTTCTTTGGGCACTGATAGGTCAGCCAGTTTTCTAAACAACATGAAATCAGTCTTTTGTCATTATTGTGCCAGTGGCTTTTCAGAGAGGGGAGCAACAGAAAAAAAAAACCCTTTCACTTTTTCATCATGCCACTGCCAATTTGGCCCAGTGGTGGTTAGAAGGTCGATGGGCCGTGGTTCCATCAGAAGGATTAGTCCTCAAATGGAATTACAGGCTGGTGTAAAAAAAAGGAAGAAAAGGCGTTGGATGCTCAAGAAAGCAAGAGAGCAGAAATATTTAAACGCAGACAGACACATTCAAGTAAAGCGATCATTTTATCATCATTAGAGGGGAAGAGGAAGGGAGGGGAAGGAGACTCCAAAGAGGAAACTGTATGGTGAGTGAGATGTAAAGTGTTTAGTTTAATGAAGATTGAAAGATTTGTGTGTGTGTGTAGAACTTGCATAGAGAACAATGTGATTATGCTTGATTTCTTACATTGAAAGGGGGTTATCCTATCCCTCTTATTTGTGTATTTGTTTCCGCCTCTTCCTCGTCCTCTCTCTAAGGAAGCAACTATAATAGCTGTGAGGATGCGCTGGAGTGGAATATCCTGGTCACCCATCTGGTGTGATGAGGACAGTAAAGTTAAACACACACCAGCTCCCTCACACAGGCACACACACATGTACAGTTAGAGAGTGTTCACACACACACTGGCCTGGAGAGCCGGGGGGGTCTCGCTGCCCTGCCACCATGCCCCCCCCCGCTGCATGTAGGTCAGCCTCAGCCGGGGGCACACCACCCTTACCCTCCCTCGCTCTCTCCCTCAGCTCCTTCTCTCACACCCCCCTCCCTTACTTCTTTCAACCCTTCCTCAGTGGCTTCTTTTTCAGACCCTTCCTTTTATTTCTCTTTATTCATACTTCATTCAACTACAGCAAAGAATTAGGATGGTGAATAACCTGAAACCAGTTCATGTTCAGCGGACCTTCCGGGCGTGTACCATATGAAATTAGAAAACTCCCAGTGTTTTAATTTACTTTTTTTTTTTTAAATGTATAAAATATTAAACGATAAGGCAATAGCCAGTATTATCCTCTGATATTATGGTACATTTGACTTTGCTTCTAATGAGCAAGATTTGCTAACCTGTCACCAAAATGTACTTCCCTATCATCAATGTGTTTCAAATTGTTCTCTAAGAGTTAAACATAGAGTTTACAAAACCCTAAGAGGAACAACTGAACATTTTAATAATAAAAACGACCAAATGTAGTGATACATGCGTGACTGTATCTCCTAAGGGTTAGTGAAAGGGTTATAATAAGTGGAACAAGCGATACTAAATAACAAACAACTTTTCCTCACAGTCTTATAGAAAGGATACATACTCTTAACTTTTCATTTTGATTATAAAACTGGACTAAAGGCATATAGTTTGCATTGGAAGAGACACAATACAGATCTTTAATCATTGTTATTATTAAAAGCAAAGCATTGTTCAATTAAACTTGTTAAGTTCCTAAAATGTTTGTATACTGCTCATTAGTGTAAATAGGGAGACTTAAGCACCTTACCGTGGTAGAGAGGTTTGTGTGCCCTGATGAATCTGGGGGCTGTGTTGTCTGGAACCTTGTGTTCCTGGTAGGGTATCCCATGGCAAATTGGTCTCAGGCAAGGGGCCAGACTAAGATTGGTTAAAAAGACCTCATGAAAGAAAAAACAAGAAGTGAGGATACCCGGCCCGGAGGAAGCCCGGGGTCCCCTTTTGGAGCCAGGCCCAGAAGGAGGACTCGTCGGCGAGCGTCTGGTGGCCGGGCTTGCCACGGAGCCCGGCCGGACCCAGCCCGAAAAGGCAACGTGGGCAACACCTCCGCTTCTCCGTCCCGTGGGCCCACCACCTATGGGAAACAGCGATGGGGTCGGGTGCGCTGCCAGAAGGGTAGCAGTGAAAGCAGAGGGTCTCGACGGACCAGACCCGGGCGACAGAAGCTGGCTTTGGGAACGTGGAACGTCACCTCTCTGGGGGGGAAGGAGCCGGAGCTTGTGCGGGAGGTGGAGCGTTACCAGTTGGATCTGGTTGGGCTCGCCTCTACGCACAGCGTCGGCTCTGGAACCTTACTTCTGGATAGGGGTTGGACTCTATTCTTCTCCGGAATTGCTCAAGGTGTGAGGCGCCGGGCGGGTGTGGGGATACTCACAAGCCCCCGGTTCGGTGCTTCGTTGTTGGAGTTTACCCCAGTGGACGAGAGAGTCGCCTCCCTACGCCTGCGGGTTATGGGGGGGAAAACTCTGACTGTTGTGTGTGCTTATGCACCCAACAGCAGTTCAGAGTATATGGCCTTCTTGGAGACCCTGGAAAGAGTCTTGTATGGGGCTCCTGAAGGGGACTCTTTAATCTTGCTGGGAGACTTCAACGCACATGTGGGCAATGATGGAGACACTTGGAGGGGCGTGATTGGGAGGAACGGCCCCCCTGATCTGAACCGGAGTGGTGGTTTGTTACTGGACTTCTGTGCTAGTCATGGATTGGCCATAACAAACACCATGTTCGAACATAAGGATGCTCATAAGTGTACGTGGTACCAGAGCACCCTAGGCAGAAGGTCCATGATCTATTTCGTTATCGTATCATCGGACCTGAGGCCGTATGTTTTGGACACTCGGGTAAAGAGAGGGGCGGAGTTGTCAACTGATCACAATCTGGTGGTGCTGCTCTTCCTTCCGGGAAAAGATTGTCCCACTCTTGACCTAACAATCAACATCGGCACCTCAGTTGTTTCCCCGACTCAGACTGCAAGGAATCTGGGTGTGACCCTAGACAACAACCTGTCCTTCACTGCAAACATCGCTGCTACAACCCGTCTGCTACAACCAGAATGCAGCAGCTCGTCTGGTCTTCAACCTTCCTAAATGTTCCCACACTACTCCGCTCCTACGCTCGCTTCACTGGCTTCTGCTAGAATCCACTTCAAGACACTGGTACTTGCTTACCATGCTGCGAATGGATCTGGCCCTTCCTACATCCAGGACATGGTTAAACCGTACACCCCAGCGCGTGCACTACGCTCTGCATCAGCCAAACGACTCGCTGCGCCCTCGCTGCAAGGGGGACCCAAGTTCCCAACGGCGAAAACACGTGGGTTTGCTGTCCTGGCTCCAGGATGGTGGAATGAGCTCCCCATTGACATCAGGACGGCAGATAGCTTGCACATCTTCCGGCGCAAACTGAAAACTCATCTCTTTCGACTCCACTTCGAGCGATAGAACTATTAACAAAGCACTTTTATACTAATAAAGGACTGGCTTTTCTAAAGCCAGTTGAGTAGCACTTGAAATGTTTTTGCTCTATGAAACCTGATGTACTTTTATGATTCTGTTTTCTTCAAGTTGTATTTTGTTGGACGAACGCACTTATTGTAAGTCGCTTTGGATAACAGCGTCAGCTAAATGCAATGCAATGTAATGTAATGTAATCTTACTTTTACACACCAAAATAACGTTAACACAGAGTAACCGTTTGCTAATGGAGAGTCTATTTTGTCCAATAAAAAGTTCATGACTATCGATAAAAAATATATATCAATAAACCTATTGTTCATTTTCGCGGTATTTCCCACACATTGCCAGTACACTATTACTGTAATATGTACACTTACTCATGTCCAAATGGATCCTTGTTGTTGTCTTTGTATTCTTCTTCTTCTTCTTCTTCTTCTTCTTCTTCTTCTTCTTCTTCTTCTTCTTCTTCTTCTTCTTCTTCTTCTTCTTCTTCTTCTTCTTCTTCTTCTTCTTCTTCTTCTTCTTCTTCTTCTTCTTCTTCTTCAGAAGAGTCGAAGACTTCAGGTTCTGAGGCTCTATCTTCATTGCTGCTAGCGAAAAAAATCTCTAGCGAAGTCGGCAACTGGAACGTTTTTTTTAGCCATTTTCTCTGTCTATCTCTTTCTCCTCACAGATGTAAACTGATGGGAGACACGTGGTTTATGTTTTGTTTACTTGGTGGGTAGGTCCTTAGTGATTTATCGATGTCCATTGGTCATTTCAGACCTGATGGCTGCCGGCCGAGATTTCCTTGACGGACACACGAATCCACCAGTGTAAAGTCAAGCTGCTTTGAGTGCCCATATTGGCTGCTGTGCCCTGGTTACAGTCTCACAGGAGATACCGCTGGAAAGCTACTCTTCCAGCGATTCCGCGGATATCTGAATCATATTTCTACTCCTTATAATCGAAAATATATGATTAATTACGTAAAGTTATGCGCCGACTCCAGAGGGTAAAAATCCCCACAATGCTTTGCGCACGGACCAATTTCAAAAACCCTTGCTGAACCGACGCAGCACACATTTAAATGTAAGTATAGTGGCGTAGAACATGTGTTGGTAAATATGTTACTTTGTTACATTTGTTTGTTATCACCAAAAATATGTTCCGTGAAAGTAAAGCAAGTTCATAATTATATAGACATCGTGAGGTATTTATTTTCGGAACAGTTTATGTTGAAACCGTTAGAGAGAATGGCACACTTGTTAGCCTGTTCCATTCTTCTTCGTTTTCCGAAGCCGTGGCTTGGAAGTATACTTGCTTCGTTTCTGAAGGAAGTGACTTGGAAGTACGCGACATCCAAGCCAGCATCCTCGCGATTGAGAAACACCCAGAGACTACTTGTATGAAATTCAGGGGAAAATTGGGTCCATATTCTTGATAATATCACATTTATAGTTCCAGGAAATTATATGCATAATTTAGGGGAAAACAACTAAAATTGCTTTGCTTAGGATGAGAGCAATCAGAGCTGCTATACTGTTGCCATCAAGCTAAGGTTGGCATCTGGGGTCTGGCTGCAGCAGTTGTCACTTCATGTGGAGCCCACAACATGTCTCCTAAATGTTTATGAACTCCTTTTTGGCAGCGCTGGCATCGACCTCCCTGTCCAACCAGCTGATCTAATCAACCATGGTGCACTTCTCCTATCTGCTTGTCTAAAGGCCATTACTGCCATTCAGAATTTCATAGAGGCCTCGTGAACATTCACAATTGCTGCTTTTCAAATGATTTCCTACAAATTACCTTGGCACTAAGGTACCTTTCATCCTCCCATCTCTTTGCCCTCTGGGCTCTTGATGTGTTTTTCTCCCCCTGTCACTCTCATAATCTATCATCCTGGCTTTTCTACATCCCCTCATTCATCCTTTGAATACTACCATCCTTTTAATAATTCACTAACAACCTACAGTTTCTTCACTCCCTAGTCCTTGAGACTATCAACCAAAAATGACATCTGATTCAATTATAAATGGTACTTTCAGGATCTCTTTCTTAAACCCCTTTCATCACATAAGAGTTTCCATGATAGGTTATTTATCACAAGCATAATCTTTGATGAAGAAAAGTAATTATTCTCGTACAGCAGAGGGAGGTTCAGAGTGACGTACGACTATAGCTAAACATATTTCTGTAATGCATGTATGAAAACAGTTGGTGCCACACAGGATAATGTGTTTATGTTTGTATGATATCCTTATCAGACAGCGAGTGTTCCTCTGTCTCTGTGCCAGGAGAACAGTTGGCGGGGCTGATACCCTGGGCATCGTGCTGCCACACGCTGACTTTCAAATCAGCACCAACCACTGATCAGAAAATCAAAATGACTCATCATTATTTAAAAAACAACATATGACATTCCTTACTGTTCTGAGAGAGATTTCAAATAGCGTCAGTGCACTTAAATGTAAATTATTCTATCCCTGGTGTAATTACAGCACGGTAATTTGATGCAGTGTTTTCATGATAAAACTTTTTACGATCTTCCTCGAGGACTCAAATATATTGTGTTTCTCAGTGATTTCCAATGTATCTTCCTCTGCTATATTCTCAGGGGCTTTCCCTCTGTCATTTTTCATCACAGTCATTTGTCTCCTCCTTTTTTGGGAAATACTACAGTGAAATAAATCGCTGCCACAGAGTCCAAAGCTCCGGCCAAAATACCTACAGTATCTTTTGTCCTCATCTGTCGCTCTCATTCTTTCACCATGGTGGAATCTCCTCTGTAATTGCCAGGATGAGTGATGGATTGTTTCTGTCAGTGTCTGCCTGACAGCTCATCTATACACACACACGTTAACACACAAACAATCCCAGTCACAATACGTATGTGAGCTCACAGAATGTGCAAGCCTTCCCACAGGGACATATGCTGCACTTACACACCTCTGTGGGAAGTTGCTGCAGGTGACAATGAGGGAGCTCACCACTTCCTCCCTCACTTCCTGGTCTCTCTCCCCAGGCTAGAGGCCATCATATGAGAGTGAGATCCATATCCATAAAAGTGTCTTAGTATCTCTACTAAGATACGATTGCACGGATCGTATATTACTTTTTATAACATACATATATTTATGCTTCTAAGAATAAAAACAACGGTTATATTTGCAGAAGAGAACATTAGGTTTTGTTTGGTAATACAGACTTGGAAGTCAATTGGTGAACCTCAACCTGTCCTCAAGATTATGTCCCAGAATCAAACCTGACAGACACACATTGTCGTTGTCGACCGTTTTGATTTGATTATTCTGAAGCCTCTCATGCCTCAGATTTGATGGTGTTATCCACCCATTTACCGAGTTACTTGGAGATGTATTTATACTTGCATGAAGTGTAGCAGTATTAGGAGGAGGCTATATCAAGATAGAAGAGGAAGGAAGAAGACATTTCAATTTTGACATTTAAGGATTTTTTCTCTGAAACCCTATATTAATAGAAAAAGACATTCGATGGACAGCTGGAGTTTACAGTCAGTTTGTTGCTAATCTTTACCTCAAACTTTCCCTAGCTCTTCCTGATGTATCCACTCCCCCTCTTCTCTGCAGTTATTCTTTCTTTTCTTTACTAATCTCTTTGAGGGGAAACAGGACTGTACAGTTTTGTTTACCTCTCCATGCCTTCATTTATAAACCTTCCTTCCATCTATACTACTATCCCTTCATTATTCCTCATATTTCATCTTCCATCTTTCCATCCATTCTTCTTGATCCTTCTCTCCGTTCCATCCTCTATGTTTTTCTCTCTCTTCCCTCCACCACTCCCTTCATCGCTACATCTCGCTCCATCTCTCCACAGACAATCTGCCAGCCCTGCGCCCTCCCAGAGTGATTCCTTTAGAGGACTAATGCTGTGAAAAATGACAGTGAACCGCCACTTTTCCCGCCATCCCCACCGCTTTGGGGCCGCCTGCTGCCTTCAGCCCTGTTGCCTGGCAACTCCCCAGACAGCTTCCTTCGGAGAAGCAAGAGCTCCTGTCTGCTGTGCTGCGATAGAGACTCGAGCTTAATAAGCATTATATCTAATTTTGTCTTATCATTTTGTTGTTAGTGACACAAGTTTGCTCGGAGCTGCGACTATGCAAAGAGCACTGATGCAGAATGTGTCTCTCATATTGAATGAACAGAATGATGTGTTGTGATGCGATGTGAAGTGTGAGTTCTCGGAGCAGTGATGTTGTTCGCATAACAGATTGATCAGCCAAGAAACAGAAATATACAAAAATGAGGACGATGCAGATGATGCAGTAAAGCCGTTCAGTAGAAAACAGCTGAGGTGTTCTGAACCCTTGCTGTTCTCTTGGAAGCAAATGTAAACACATACAATTAACATGTCATACTGAAATGTGGTATATACACCTAAGGACTATAATAAATCATTCCGCATGTTATTAAATACTAGTTTGCCTTCTTAATACAGTGCAAGATAAGTAAGGTTAGATAACTGCATGTAACTACTTTAGATTCAGAGTATAGCGTCTTGCATTTACAGCCAAAACAAGTCTGCAATATTGCATACAGAGTTCCACGTTTAAAAAAAAAAAGTACTTTTTTTCTTTAAATATTTAGATGAAGGAGGGAGTGAGGCCGGTCCTTTGGGGGCTTCATCTTCCATGTTACCCCTCAGCTTGTACAGTCCAAAGTGGCAGCAGCTAGCAGAAAAATCGTCTTTATTGTTTCCATTTAATAATAAAAAAACTGTATCACTTGCTGCCAAGAGACTTGACCAAACCAGGTCACCTTATGCATAACTTATGATTTTCTTTTGCTCAGTCCCAAGACATCTCCAAGTTTTAAAATAGGTTGGAAATCATTTTTTCATGAAGTGCGTACCTTTAACTGCACGATGAAAAGGCCATGCTTGAGTCTCAGACTCCTTTCTCTCCTGTGTGTCAACTAATTGTGGTTTCTTGTAAAAAAAAAAGAAGAAGAAAAAAGCTTGTCTGTGCGTCATCCCCTGCCCCACTTTGCTGTGTTTCCTGCTTCTTGTTGGCTTTTAAAACAGAAACCCAGCAGTCGTTCACCGTCATGTTAACAAGAATCAAACACCCAGATAATTCCCATATATGAGTGACACGAGCCACGCGGTTGCCACGGGAACTCTCAGAAGGGGTTACAAGAGTGCTTTGACAAAGTGTGTGAACTCGCTGCCACCGAAGCAGTCCTCGCTCTTTAATGTGTCGCTGTGTGGAGACTTTGGCAGATGGTGGAAAAGTTGATCTGAGTTGTAGGGGGTTCCGCCTGCTACGTTGTCTTTTTTTGCAAGCGACGTGTGATGTGTGATTGCAGAACGTAATCCTTTAAGCCCCTGTCACACTGTCCCGAAATTGACACCCGATGGACACACGAATATGGAATTGTGAATTTCGCACGAAGATGGCCCCGAACCACACACGAACTGCAATGAAAGTACCAAAAACAATTATGTTACATTACTATGATACTGTACTGATATCTTCAGACTTTGTTCTTTACTTTATTCGTCGTTATATGTAGAAAATATTACGTTTTCTCCGTAATGTTGTTTCCATAACAACAACAACTTCCTGTCAACTGTCCTTCAAAATAATATATTATATCCTTTTTAGTTTCACAGAACACAAATTGGGTTATTTACATAATATGTTTGCATGATTTTGTTGTGCAATAAAACAACCCGATGGACACACGATAAAGGAAATGTTCAAATTCGGCTGTGATCGTAGCAACATCGGGCCATTCGTGAAGGCATCTTAAGCCATCGTATGACCGCCGGTGGAGTTTCTCAGGCTCCGGCAGCAACTTCGTGAGCAGTGGCAAAATCTTTGGCATGCCAAAAAATTGCCGAAGGACCTTGCGAAGGTTCATTTTCGTGTTGAATTCGTGTGTCAATTTTGCCCTTCGTAAGGCCATCGTGAGGGCATCTTGTTATCATCGGTGCCATCGGGCATTCGCCCCGATCAGAGTGAGGGTGAATGCACCGATGATAACACGAAGATGACACGATTTGACAAGATGCCCTCACGAGTGCCTTACGAAGTTGCCGCTCACGAAGTTGCTGCCGGAGCCTGAGAAACTCCACCGGCGGTCATACGATGGCTTAGATGCCCTCACGAATGGCCCGATGTTGCTACGATCACAGCCGAATTTGAACATTTCCTTTATCGTGTGTCCATCGGGTGTCAATTTCGGGACAGTGTGACAGGGGCTTTAAGGGAGGAATGTTGAAGATGAGAGACGGCAAGTGCAGGCAGGATGACGAACACTGTGAGATGCATTTTCCAAAGTAGAAAAAGAGAAACTGTATTATAGTATGAGACTTCAAGGATAACAGGAAAATATTCGGTTTGGGCCCATTTTAGTTCATTTCTGTTGGATGAATCAGGGCAGTTTTTAAAGCATTAATTTCCCATTTAAAGTGATCATTCTATAGAGAACCACTCATTTAAATCCATCAAGGTCATAGAGGGAAGCTTGAATAGCTATTTCCATTAATGTGAGCTGAATGGAGAATATAGGGGTCTAGATGACTAGTGGAGGTGGATTCTTCTCAGCCCCTAGAGGGATGTGTGTTTGTAGGTGTATATTTAATAGTTATGAGGGCATTCACCAAGAAGGGAATGTGAATACTGATAGAGCCATGAACTGTGACCGCTATCTGCCCTGTCTGAAGGTCTGATTCACTTGTAAAGTTTTACGGCTCAGTACAATGTGCCCCCTTTGTGCGGCTGATTGCTAATCTGTGGGGAAAGTTTACAATGTGCACGGATAAAGACAAATCTTTCCTCAAAACTTGACAGAGAAAACTGTATTTGGGATTTATTATCCTAGCCTATCAGTGCTGTTATCAAAGTCCACCTTTAGACTGCACGAGAAATTTGCATTATTACTGGAAGGTCTGGAGTAAATATAGTAATAACTGCATCCCGTGGTAGCTTGTGACTGATGTTCGGCATTGTGAATTGAAGTATTTTTGCAATGGTGCTCATTTGCATGTAAAAAGGGGCCATTGTGTGCCAAATGTCTGCTTATTCCCTAAGTTAAATATGTAAATGCTGTGGAGCATCAACATATTATTTGTTGGAAAGCACCGGCTGAAACAAGCTAACATTTCATATTCTCTTTCTTCATCGCTCCTCATCCTGCTTTCTCCCTTAAAAGACTTTGCTTATGAACTGAATTTATCCAAATCCAACACTCTACTACCGATGCCTCTACACGCATACACACAAGTAGCATCTGCTGAGACATTAGACATTTCTTACTGTAAATAAGCCTGAAGACCCCCCCCCCCACACACACACACACACACACACACACACACACACACCTAGTGAGCAGCATGGCATTATGCCCAGCCTTGCCCCAGGTGTCTCAGCGTTGATATATTGGTGTGGCCTGACATGAAGCATGTAAGGCAAACCAATGCGCTTTTTAAAGCTCTGCATAACCGAGAGAGTAGAGGTGACGTGTTTTAGCGTATTAATATCCACCTCAGGTGCTAATTTGCCCCCTAAGTCACATGTGTCATCAGCTGCTGTGAAAGACGAGTGGAAATAAAAAGAAAGCTAAAGAAACACAGAGAAGGCCCAGGATGGAGTGAGACAGAGAAATGACGTGGAAGTGAGAACCATGGAGGTGTAAATCACATTAATGAATAAGCTTGATTAGTCGTGCCCATTAGGGTCCTCCTCAGCATGGATTAATTTAACTTGAGACTTTGGTGAAGCCATGATGGGCCAGAGTTTGATTACACACCTGGGTGTTTGACTGACTCTGACTCCCTTTATGCTGACTAGCAGGGGACAGTCTGTGTACCTTCTGTCTTTGAATGTGAAATGAGAACACCTGCAAAGAGAAAACTAATATCCAACATTTACCTACTGGGGGTTTGTATTTTCCAGCTGCTGGTTTTCTCTGTTGCTTTTATTGCTCCTAAAGGAGAATATGCCTGTTTCGCTGTTACTGTTCGCATGGCACTTGCGCCAAATGATGTGATCATCTAGTTTTCTTTCCAAAGACAATTAAAGTCATGTTTGGAAGGTTATACTCAATTATCCTCTTGTCTATCTGTTTGTGTTGTCGACAGGCGGACCCCCAAGGCCGAGACATAGCCATCCGTCCATTCTTGGAGCACTGTGAGAACACCCACATGTCCATTTGGCTGGGCATTGTTTATGCCTACAAGGGACTGCTAATGGTGAGAGGAGCAAACAAAATGTTCATCATCAACTCACAGTTTGGATACACATAAAAATGCACTACAAGTTTTATGTACCCTACAAATGCATCTGCTGAGCCTTGAAATTAGCTTGATGCCTTTTAATATTACACTATTTCTGAAATGTGTAACAATAACAAACCTTAAGTATCTCATTTAAAAACACAGTACAAATACAAATACATTTTCCAGCTGTTAATCCTGTGTCCCTTTGTAAATCAGTCAGTTATCTCCGGTAACATGCATGATGTGTAAAACTAAAATAACATTTTTGAGAATTTTCATATAGAAATCCTCTCTTTTGTTTTTCCTATTAAATATGTTTGGTCTTGAACTCTGTAATGGTTACATTAAGTTATTCAAGCAAGCAGGATTTCAGTGCTTGAGTGTTAGCTAGTTTAGGTATCTGAAAAATATCTTAGCAGGTGGTTTATGTATGGATTTAGGATGGCAATGCATTGTTTATAAGCTTTCTAAATGGATACCTTTCTATTTGCAATTTAATTTATTTACCCGAAAACCACAAACTGCGAATAAAAAGTCAGTACTCATACTATCCTTATGATCTGAGACACAGGGCTCTTGACAAAAAATGTCCATGAAATAAAATAATTTCATACCATATTTACGGCGAGGCAAAGGATTGAGATAGAGCAGTAAATCATTTTGAAAAGATTCAGAGAGTGCAAAGGATGAATACAAATATTACTAAAAATCTTACAGAAAGAGAGATGGAAGGAGGGAGTGGTAGCAAGAAGGGGATTTGATTTAAAATGATAACAAAGCGGGAAGTTTGTATCAAGCCCACATCTGTATGAGGCATAGAGAGACAGCACTGCAAAAGAAGCATTAAGGCTTTACGCACGCACACACACACACACACACACACACAGGTCCACATATGAATATATACCAGAGCACATCACCCAGCACATTCCCGTATACACACTCACACACCTGAGATCCACTAATCCTTGATGGCTGCTCCTGTCATTCCACTAACTCTCATTCAGACTTTAAAATAAGCAGGCAGCCACTTTAACACACAGTGAATAATTCAGCAGGCCCTGCATGCTGCTGCTGCAACTCTAATGTTCCACCAAACAAACAGTTCACTCTAAATAAACATTTGACAAACATAAAACCACAGGCTGCTTTAAAAAGATCATCTTTAAGGCTCAAATGCAATGAAGTACATTTGTGTTTGATTTGTTTTAAATACTTTTAAAAGCTAAGCCAAATAAGATATTTATTCACAACCTGCACTGTTTTATGAAAAACAATGAAAAGCACTGAACAGACAAGAAACAAAGAGATTTCATAAATCCTGCTTTATCCTGAAACCCCCTGATGTTGAGACTAGCAGAAGAAAAATGATAGAAAACGGCTTCAAACAGTGAGGATGACCAACTCGGTTGACTAACTGTGTGTGCATTGCCCCGGAGAAATGACTTCAGACTTTCTATAACCAAAATCAAATAGTGCCTTCAGTTTTTTTCTGGTCTGTCTGTAACCTTTACTCAAACATCTTTTATTAAAAACAACTTGTCATTCCTCTCTCCTTTCCCTCGCAGTTGTTTGGCTGTTTCTTGGCATGGGAGACCAGGAATGTGAGCATCCCCGCTCTCAATGACAGCAAATACATCGGGATGAGTGTCTACAACGTGGGCATCATGTGCATCATCGGTGCTGCTGTGTCCTTTCTGACCAGGGACCAGCCAAATGTCCAGTTCTGCATCGTGGCCCTGGTGATCATCTTCTGCAGCACCATCACGCTCTGTCTGGTCTTCGTTCCCAAGGTCAGATTTAAGTGTGAACGAGGACAGTGTGTGTATGAGCACTGGTAAAAAACAATATGGCCTGCGCTCCCAAGATAATATTCAGATGCTGGTTCCTAAAGTGAGAACAGAACTAGGTAAAAAAATCTGTTAAATATGCTGCCCCTTCTGTCTGGAATAATGTACAGAAGGAACTGAAACTGTCAGATGTAATCACGTTGGGGGAATTCAAGTCCATCTTAAAGGACAGAGAACAAGAAACCATTGTTTGATGTGCTTGCTCTTATATCACATAATTGAAGTCGTTGAATGAATGCCAGTTGTTTATGTTTTATAACAGTTTCTTTTATTTGCATATTGACTTTAATGTGCCATTTCATTTGTGTTTACGACAGCTGTATTCGTCTGCCTGTATTGTTTTGTGTTTATTTGTTGTAATATTGTTCATGCTGCCCTCTTGGCCAGGTCGCTCTTGAAAAAGAGATATTAATCTCAATGAGACTTTGAGCTGGTTAAATAAAGAATATATATACCGGTGGCTAACTGTGCATTAATCAACACTCCACGGATCCTAAAAATGCTGCATTAACAGTTTGGTGTAGCTTGTGTTGTATGTCATTTTATACCAGAGTGCAGCTTTGACTGATACCCATAACTTTTTTCTAACAGTTCATCACCATGAGGACCAACCCAGACGCAGCCACCCAGAACCGGAGGTTACAGTTCACCCAGAATCAGAAGAAGGAAGACTCCAAGACCTCCACCTCCGTCACCAGCGTCAACCAGGCCAACACCTCGCGCCTGGATGGCCTTCAGACTGACAACCACCGCCTCCGCATGAAGATAACAGAGGTCTGAGAGCTAACTACTACACATCCATGTTGAACTTTTTTCTGCCATTTGTCTTCACGGGGTAACACAGGGGTACGGTGCGAGGGTGTCAGAGTTTTAAATATAAAAACCAAGAGGTAGATTTTAAACGTAATTAAAGACACTAAGCACGAGTTCCACAAGAGAAGGGGCAAACATAAATGAATTTAGCTTTACCTAACTTGAAAATGAAAAACTAATCTAGCTTTCCTGTAGCCAGGTCATTTTTCAAGTATCATTTCGTTAATTCTTAATAGGATGATTGGTGTTCAAAGGAATCACTTCACTAGATTGTGTGGTTGCTGAACGAGGTCGCATTTCCTTCTCTCTTAATTATTTCTTAAATGTTTTCGCTTTTACTGACTTTGGGTGACATTTGAAAAAATAATCACCTTGGCTTCCTGTCAGATCTATCAGACTTGAATTAATGGTGTTGTCATTGCTTTTGTTTATGATTGAGGCAAATGGGCTACTCAGACGCTCTTGGAGGACAAGTCAAGTTATTATGCCTTTAGCAGACAGCAGTAATTCACTCTTTATGCTGTGTTTGACATGTAAAGAGGTAGTTGATGGAGTTTGTTGTCCATAGTTTAGACTTAACTTTGGGTAATATTTGACTGATAACATGCAGCTTACTTGAGCCATGTTTCTACATATAAAGCTGGACAAGGAGCTGGAAGAAGTGACCATGCAGCTGCAGGACACCCCGGAGAAAACCCCCTACATCAAACACAACCATTACCCTGACGCCAACAACATCCTCAGCATACGCAACTTCACAGACGGAAAAGGTGAGAAATGAGCCGTACTTTTCCTAGATTTGTCTGTGTTTGGGCGTGGGAATGTAGATTTTGTAGCACCTGAAACGTTGTTTTAAAAGCCTAGATTCACTTATTTTAAAATAGTTTGAATTGCCTAGAAACAGTGTTGATGTGAAGTGGTCCTGAAGCAGCAAACACATATTTACTCTCATTACGTTTTTGCTCTATCATTGCATCAATACAACCCATGTCAAATCCAAGATGGTGTATCATTTCTTCCTCTCTGTGAATGGAGCTGCTCTACTGGGTTGTGCTCACTGCTGCCACTGGTGGCGGAAACTAGATTACAGCAATCTGTCTAGACCCCAAGATTCAACAAAGAAAGAACAGCCGTATTAAATATGTCAGTCTTGTCTCACTTAAATTCATTGTGATTCAGTCAATCTGATTTAATTTTTTTTTTTTTAAATGAATGTGTACAGCTGTGATTAGTTTTTGGGCACCTCAGTCTGTTTCACTTTGAGAGAGACAGTGTTTGTAACGTTTAAATATTCAGTGGCTTAAGTAAAGGATTTTCATTTTGCTCTCAGTGCCGCAGCTTGATGGAATATTGTGACGTTTTTCTCCCATTAGCATGAGCTCCTGTCAGCTGCAGGTGAGACAGGGACACATGAGGACTCAGTCTGACAGCAAGTCTGTGACGTCTCTTCAGATGAGTCATAGGATTAGCTACCTGCATACTCCACTGATGCTTAGCAAGCTCCATACTGTAGTCACACTTCTCAACTGCCCCACATTTATTATTAAGCCCAAAGTAGGTCCAAACTTGATTTTGCTTCTTAATATCTCCTTAATATTTAGTGTGTGGGACGTTGTTTTGCTGTGTGTTGAACAATGTGAGAAAACAGTGTGAGAGTATTAAATAAGGGAGGAGGGGACAGTTAAATAATCATTTGAGTAACTATGAGGTGCTTAAAGATATCAAATCCGTCTTTCTGCAGTAGAGAAATTCATTACCCCCCCCCCCTCAGCTGCTGCCTGTTTGCCTGGATGGTTACAGCAGCATCGCGTTGCATTAGGCAGCGTTTTAAGAGACGATGGTGATGTACAGCAGCCAGCTTCAGCTCGTCTGATGCACACGCTGCACAAAGCCGCTCTCAAGGGTGTCTAATGGATCTGTCTAAGTTTGGGAAGGTAGAAGAGTAAAACAGCTGCGCTCGTTCTGCGGATTGGGACCACAGCGAGTTGAAATAGTTTGAGAAGTTCCTCATCTGTGAAAGTTCATAGTTATTATGCAATAAAATCATGGAAGTCTCTCACATTACACACACATACTTTCACAAAGCAACGTCTGTAATGCTTCTTCTTTGTGTTTTAGTTTCTTCTCTGCTTCCTTCTGTTTCTCTTCTTCTGCCTCTCATCTTTGTGTGCACACGCATAAATGCACAACAGGCACACACCCTCCTGTTTTAGCTGTGTATGGTTCCCTTGCAGGGATGGATTTAAGCGTGTTGGTGCACAATTGGTTGATGGGGCATCTCATTGTTTTCTTTTAATGAAGCACAGAGTCAGTGCCAAGATTATTTTGATAAGTAGACTATTTTATTCAACCTTTAAATCATGATTACCAGAATACTACAAATGGAGTGAGATATAAAAAATGTCAGTGATTTGAAAGATTTTACAAGATATCTGAAGAAACGGCTCAGTGTTATGTGACCAAGTATTAGGGTTCATGTCCCTTTGAAACGAAAAGATCATAGATTATATTTTCCTTCATCATATTTGAAAGAAACATTGTGCCTGAAAATATCTCGTTCTCACATTGTTTAGCTTTAGAGTAATCTCTTTAGAGTGCTGGCAGTGGCTTGTATCAGGATCTCTTACATTCAAATGGTGTGTGCATTGTGCGGTAGAAATACATCTGTTTAGACTAAATCTTTGTTTCGTCGTTAGGTTGTCAGAAGACACAATCTAATCTGTCTTCTAAACATTTTTTCATTTTTAAATATGTTCATATTTACAAACCTTTATTGGGTCAAAGCCAGGGCAAAAACGCATAACGTTCCACTTCCCACCCGTGGTAGTAAGCAGGAACAATGACCACAGTTTAAATTGGGGCAAAAATATATATAAAAAAACCGGGAGTTCATTTTGGTAGTGCAGAGTTCTTTAAGTTAAAGTATAGTTTCCCCTCTGAAAGGATTAGAGAGCAATCAACTGTTTATTTTCAACACGAAGTTTAAACATGCAGATTCTGTTGGAGAAATAACACTTTCAATGAGTGAATATTATTAAATAATCCCAATCTGCTTGGGTCGCTGGGATCAGAAACAATGAAGCAACACAAATGGGCTGTCTGATTCATATTCCTGCTCCTGTCATCAAGTGATGTTTTCAAACCGACAGGTATAAGTCAAACTTAGTAGAGCCTTACAAGCTCATATTTAACGACATAATGACCCAGCTATTACTTTTTTTATTCACAGAGAAATGTAGTAGGTTGTTGAAGTGTGCATGTCAGTGATGAGGAAGATGAAGAAAAAGAGTTCAGACAAAGACAGGTGGCACATTAGCTGCTGCTCGCAAACATCCACACATCACATCACAGGTCGTTAAGCCTCCTTTAAAGATCAGCAGCATATAAACTTTTCCCGGCCTCAATCTGCTCGTGCTTGACAGTCATCACCATCATCATCATCATCGGCGGCGGCTTTAACTGCAGTCATCAGTATTCATAAGAGAGCTGGTCTAACTGTACTGGGGGGCGTGAATGAGTGGCTGTTATAAGAGAAGAACGCTGTGTCAACAGCGATTACGCTCCCTGAGAAGCATCTCTCTCTCAATTCAATTCAATTCAAAGGGGCTTTATTGGCATGGAAGTTAAATTAAACAATGTTGCCAAAGCATCACAATACAAAATAATTAACAACATTAACATACATTTCAAATGTTTACATATTATTGATGATATATATATACAGTGATACAATTACATTTCAACGTGTGTGTGTGTGTGTGTGTCTCATTCACTGTCCCTCAGGTTGTGGCATGTGTATACATATTGGGCAGCAAGATGTGCCTTGTCTCCTTCTCCTAGGAGTACTCTCAGTCTTGAGAGGTCATCAACCTCCTTGAAACCTGGGATTACAGAGTTCAACTTGTTCCAGTAAACGCTCCTTACTTCGTTGAATGTTTGGCACTTCAGGAGGAAGTGCATCTCTGTCTCAGTCTCACCTGTCGTACAGTGATTTATATTCTGTTCTCTTTTGGTTGCCAGGATCTTTTGAGTCTTCCTGTTTCGATTGCCAGTCTGTGGTCACTGAGCCTGTACTTGGTTAGGATCTGTCTCTGCTTTCTGTCTCTGACAGTAGAGAGATATTCTGCCAGCTCATACTCTCTGTTTAGAGCCAGGTAACATTCTAATCTACTTTGGCTTTTAGTTTCTTCTTCCCAATGTTGTAAATAGTTGTCTTTACATTGTGTTATAATGCGTTTGACTGTGATTGGTGTTTGGAGAGCAGTGTTGTTGAGAGACTGGTCAGAGTGGCTCTGAGAGGGGGCAGCTAGCCTCAGCACCAGCTGACATAGGGGACTCTTCTCTGGGGTTAGCTCTTGGCTTTGGAGGGCTTTGGAGTGGAGGGTGTCTCGGGGGCTGGATCTAAGGTGGTTAAAGAATGTTAGTGCTCTCTTTTGAGTGTTAATGATCAGTGGGTATCTGCCTAATTCTGCTCTACATGCATTTGTTGGTGTTTTTCTCTGAACACGTAAAATGTATCTGCAGAATTCTGCATGTAAAGACTCTGTTGGATGTTTGTCCCAGCGGGTATAGCTCTGGTGACTGAGTGGACCCTATACTTCACTACCGTACAGCGCAATGGGCTGGATCACACTATCAAAGATTTTGAGCCAGATTTTAATTGGAATTTGGACATTATAAAATGTTCTCTTAATTGCATTTAGAGCTCTTCTGGCTTTTACTTTGAGTGCATTCACTGCCATGTTGAAACTTCCTGATGCTGTTATGGTTAAACCGAGGTAGGTATAACTCATACTATGTTCGATGATATGATTATTTATGGTAAACTGGTATTTGTTCTCCTGACATCTGGGGCGTTTTTGGAAAACCATGACATTAGTTTTCTTCATATTGACTGCCAGGGCCCAGTTCTTACAGTACTGGTCTACTATGTCCAGCTGTTGTTGTAGTCCTTGTTCAGTAGGAGACAGCAGAACAAGGTCATCAGCATAAAGCAGACACTTCACCTCTCTATCTAGGAGGGAGAGGCCAGGAGCAGCACAGTGATCCAACTGAACAGCAAGTTCATTTATATATATATTAAATAAAGTGGGACTTAAATTGCAACCCTGACGAACGCCTCTTCTCTGGGTGAAGAATTCAGTTTGTTTGTCTCCAATGTTAACAGCACACTTATTCCCTAAATACATTGATTTAACCAGATCGTACATATTATTCTCTCTCTCTCTCTCTCTCTCTCTCTCTCTCTCTCTCTCTCTCTCTCTCTCTCTCTCTCTCTCTCTCTCTCTCTCTCTCTCTCTCTCTCTCTCTCTCTCTCTCTCTCTCTCTGGATGACATTTAAAGTGCAGTTTTCAGCCGTATTTTAGGCTGGAAAAGATAGAGGTCATTTTTATTAAATAGGCTGTCATTTCCATTAGGAGAGACATTTCTGATTATACAATATGCATTGACATGTCCCTTAGATGATAGAGATTGGAATAGTCTTTGTATCTTAAGGGGGGAGTTGCACTAGAAACGGATGGTGATGATGATGGAATACAGAGGATGCTGCAGATCTAGATTTGGTGAGAAGTGGACTTGTGATGAGCTTAACCTGGTCAGGGGAGGTGGATGGAGTTGGTTGGTTAACTAACACAGTGACGCTATGATGAGCCTATTAGAGGCAGCTGGGTCAGTGAGAGAGAGAGGAAGAATGTTGAAGCTAGTCTTCCTCATTCAACTTCATACATGAGCTTCATTTCTTTACATTTTGAACCATTAACCATTAGCTTATCATTGACACAGGCACACTAAACAGCTGTTAAAGCTGAATATAGTTTAAAGTGGACCTATTATGCTATATTGGAAACATATATTGTAGGGTCATACCTATACAAAACATGTCGGTGAAGTTTTTTGCTTAAAATACCAAACAGATCACGCATTGCAGCCATGTCTCATACTGCTCATACCCCTCTATTACAGCCCTGTTGCAAACAGGCTGATTCTGCTTTAAGTAAAATGCACATTAAACAATTAGTTTTATTGTACAGTTCAATTAGTGTGCTGGCCTTGGGGTCTTTATTAATTAAAAAATAAACTCAACAACCTAGTACTTTCTTTGTGGCATGAACACATATTCTGAATCCATAATAAGGTGTATAAATATCTGTGTCCCTGCTTTTAACACAGCTCCGAGTGCTACAAGGTTAGGCTTTCTCAAAATGCGAAGAGGACTAGTCTGCTCAGAAATAGTTCAGTGAGCTCAGATGTCCGGGGTGCGGACTGGAATCAGGTCAGCAAGTGCTGGGAACATCTGGAACAACTGGAGAGAAAACTCTGTACGGGGGAAAAGATCACCCCATTACTCTCCATATACCATTTTTGAAAATGAGAAATGCTGTTTACTACACTTCTGATTGTGTTTCAACCTCATCGTCTGGCTCTGCTACATCTGGAGAATGAAGAAATCATGTTAGGAAGCTTTTATTCCATCTCCTCTGCCTTCCTGTCTGGAGAGGAGCTCTGTCTCTTTTCTTTATCACTTTGATGATTTCTTTCTCTTTGTTTCTGCTTCCACTTTTCAGATTTGTCCCACGCAGTGTTATTTTGTACCTGTGCTTTAAATATCCTCCTGCGTTTGACAGATTATGCAATCTGTTTCATTTTGAAGAAAGGAGACAGTTTACAGACAGCTGCAAGAAATTGTGACATATTTTAAGATCACTGTTTTTGACTAACAAACATGTTTTCACACTTCGGCAACCGGCCAAAAGAGTCACTTTGTGTACTGTATCTAATGAAAACGCAGATCTGGATTGCTACGAAAACATTCATTCATTTGGTATCCGCATATCGACATGACCTGGATGAAAATATTCATGTTGCTTTTTGCATTGCATCAGGATCTAAGTAACAGCGTACAACAAGAAGCCCCTCTCACGCCCATGCCTACCACACCTCCAAACCAGTTAAAGATTTAAACATGGATCCAGACTCAGGTGTTACAGCCATAGGCTTATCCAACAAATCCCTCAGAGTCTCAGGTGCCTGGTGCGTGTGACTTACAACTCCTGAGCAGTTAACTATGACACCGCCTGCCATGTATTTCACAATGTGTTTCAATGCAGATGGAGAGAAGTCGATACTGAAGAACCACCTGGAGCAGAAACCTCAGGCTCAGTGGGGCTCCATGGATCCTTCCAGAATAAACAGAGGTCCCCTGGAGGATATCAACTCCCCCGAACAGTGAGCGCTCCTATATCTTCAGCACGTCTCCCCCCTCTCCCCTCTGTCTTGTCAGCTTTTTCATCAGACTACACGTCACACGTATCGCAACCACCACCAGCTCTCAGGCGGTTGCTCTGGCAACAGAGCCCTGCGAAAAGCATGTACTTCTCTCTCCCACGCACGTCAACATACATATTACCACATACTCTCCCATCACACTGAGGCATATATACTTACCGTCAAACACATATAAACACATGTTGTGATCCAGAGACCTGCAGCTGATTGATTTGTTGTCCCAACTTCTAAAAGGAGATGATCTCCATACCAACAAATAGTGATTTACTATTTATAAGCAAGCAAAGGTGAGGGATGTTGACTTCATCAATGGGGGGGAACACTTCATGCATCATTGAGAGCTCTCCCTCCCACATTTGCTTATAGACTCACAATGCACTACGTAGAGGGATACATATTATTACAAATATTGAAGAGAGGGCAGTTACAGGAAGAAGTTAGATTAAGCAAGAAGGACGTTAAGATGGGAAAGAGAGACAAAGACGAGGAGAGAAAGAAAGAGGTAGAGACTCACAGGCTTATGTAACCAGTGATTTACAGCTCGCATTGGAACAAGCTCTGAAAATAGGCAGGGAGGAGAACAGAAGTAAAGGAACACTCGCAGCTATTCCCATGCCGCATAAATGTTTGATCACATGGAGGGAAAAGAGACGAAGAGGCAGGGAGAGAGAAAGAAGAGACAAATAAAAATAAGTGAGAAAAAAGGTATGATGAGAGTAAATGTAGAGGAATGACAAAAGTCAAGCACCAGGTGCACCATGTTCAATGTGTTGTCTGTGTCCTATATGATACATCCATAAATACAAATAAATCCTTTATGAGCCAGGAGAATTGGTTTTCCCTCCCAAATAGGACAGGTCAGAATAAGTGAATAGGCCTGAGGACAATTCATATGTATTTATAATTAAGAAATGTTTCTAGGTCTTTGGATGCTTGGATTACATCCCCCCACCCCCCCTCTCTTAACTTTTTACATAACTGGCATTTGGTTATGTAATTTCCTTGCAAACGGCTGGCAGTGGTGCTAGCTCTGGCGAGGCAGGGTGCGAAGAGTCACAGCAGGCGGAAGCATGAAATGTTCTTTTTGTCAGATGATCCCAGAAGCTGAGAGGCACGGTGGATTAAGGGTTTAGTGAAGAAAAGAATGAGGGCGCTAAAGAACACAGAAAAAAACAATTAGAAGAAATCCTGAGGGCTGGTGTAAACTTCTTCACCTGACTGTTGTGATCCACCTTCATCATGTCAGTGTTTCATCTCTGTAGCTGCATGTTTCTACATTAGTACTCCATTTAAACATGCTGGTAAAAACAACCAATCATTGTCCATTGAGCCTTTTTTCAGGACTCTGCAATAGTTATAATATACTGTGTAAATAAATATGCAGTACAGTAGGTAAGTGCTTAGAATGAATGAGCAGGGGGTGTATTGGCGCTGAGATTTACTACTTTATAGGTAAGGGATGGTATTGGAATTTAAAGTTAATAATATGTTAAATGTAAATCCAACCCTGAATCCCACATTTTTACATTTAATAGGACTTTGCAGAGCTTTTATACAAAACATGTTCAATGCCCTTACTGGAACTTTAGTGCCCATTATGTACAGTAAGTGGGGGGGAATAAGGATGTGCTGGTCAGGATGGTTTACACCAGAATTAATGTCAATTATTGGCAAACGGGCTAGTAAGTGTATAATCTTCAAAGTCAACGTTGATCATAACATTTGAAAATATGGATTAAAAGGGAAAAAACACAAATAAATGTAATAAAAATACACGTGAACTACCGCAAAATTACTTAAATTAATCTCAATCTTTATTTATTTATTTATAGTTAATGTACTTTATCACTCTCTATCTCTTACATTGTATATTCTTTATTTCCAGCATACAGCGCCGCCTCTCCTTGCAGCTTCCCATCCTGCACCACGCCTACCTGCCCTCCATAGGAGGGGTGGACGCCAGCTGCACCAGCCCCAACGGCAGCCCTGGTTCCAGCCCACGGCACAGACACATGCCCCCCTCTTACCGGGTGATGGTCTCTGGCCTGTGAGCTTCCTTCACCCCCCCCCACCTGGCTCTTTGCAGAGGAGACATATATGGTTCTTTTTTTCTACAACAAATAGACTGATATCATCAGCGTTCGTGCGTATTTTGTCTCGCAACAAGGAGGACAGGGGGAGAAGAGAGGAAGGTGGGGCCGAGTTTCACTCTTCATACTTCTCTTCACCCCTGCCTCTCTTGAGAACTGGAACCCTCAGTCAGGAAGGGGTGGGAGGAGACAGAGTGGGCACTGGATGACACTAACAAACTCCCATGATTCACAGCAATGTCCCCCTTGTTCATCTGCTCCCCTTGCCCAGGCATATTCACATATTCACAGTCAAACAAACACAAACATATATACATATGCACAAACACACTGACCCCCGATCAGAGCAGCGTGGACTCCCTGACCTGTGTGTAGCCTTATCTGCTTCAGAGGGGACCGCCTGTTTCTGCTCCTTATCTGTTGTTCGTATGACTCGTCATCTAACTGGAGTATTTCACCGCTTCAGTGACTATATACCGGTGAGAAGACGTTGAATTTACAAAAACCCAACAAAGGAAAATCATCCAATTTACTCCCTGATCCCTTCCCGTTCTTGTGGAGACATGTAAATACTATAATTTCTGACTTTGATGTACTGTAAGCTTTGTATATGCTGTGAATGGACAATTAAAAGGGGTTCTATGTGTAGACGTTGTGAGAGAGGCAGGCAATCATGACAAGGCAACCTACAAAGAAATAGGCTTATGAAAGAGATCTGAATCGGTTTGTGTTACTGTTGATAGATTAGCTTATGGGCAGCAAAGTAAGATACATCTAAGCTTGTGAGTCACTGAACAGGAAGAGGCACCAGAGGCCTGTTGCTCTAACACATGGCTCTTTTTTCCCACTTTGCTAAATTTGCACCACTGGTTCCATCAGAGATTTCACATCAAACTTTGCATAGATCTTTCATATTTTAAAATATGCTTAATATGTCCTCGGAAAGCATGTTATACAGAATATTGATGCTTTGCCTTTTAACAGGTCTCCCAGGCTGCATATGTTAGCAAATCGAGCTATGAGGCACCGTAAGAGTGTTCCACAGTTATTATTTATGTGTGTTATATGCCAAGAAATGCACACATTCAGATGAACACTTAAGAGAGCACCTTATTCACTCCGGTGCTTTTCAGACGGGCCTGGTCATATTGACCCCCACAGAGGGGTCTCTACAGACGGTTGGGACGTCCCTCTGATCGAGCCCTCACAGTTAACCAGCACAGACACGGGGGACGGGTTCACGACAAGGAAATACCACTAAAGAAGTGATGCTGGAAAGGATGTAGGTCTACCAGTTCCACAACAAGTTTGGATGAAATGGCTGACCTGAATTTCCACGAGTGGTAGTGAAGACGATGAACGCCCCAAGTCGGTGAAGACACCACTGCTGGTCACAGTGAAAGAGCATAAAGCACAGACACAGGGCTTTCTGTCGTATTGAGTGTCAAGAAAAATCACTTCACACTTAGCAACAGTGAACATACCTCAGTTGCTATGGAGATGTTATTCAGTGCCGTTGAACTGGGCCCAAAAAGGCTGCACTGAGCAAAACAGTCGTCGACACGGTGTCGTCTTTTTTTCTTTTTTGTATAACTGTCCTCATGCAGGAGAAAAGCAAAGAGAGCCTCCGGACAAAAAAAAAAAAAGGACTTTCTATAGAGTGTGAGAAGGTTTGTTCTTAGCATATGTTTCACCATTGGTGTCTTGGTTTTTAGTTTTTAAGGCGTTTGTTGAAAGCTGTGCCTGTTGTCTTATATTGTAGCCTGCAGGACCCACAGTACATTAACAGGGGGAGACCCAGAGAACTACAACCACATCTGTAAACTGAACAGCGTGTCATAGGTCTATTTCAATTAAATGTCTCAATGCATGGGACAGAGTGGGAGGACGTGGCCAAACTCCACTTCTGCGAGTCGATGTCTGATCAGAAACACTGTCTTCAGCTGTAAGGCCGGATACAGAGTCGGAGTGAAGCTAGCAGACGTCCACCTGCTGTCGGACATATCAGGGTGACTTCCCCTCAGAGCTCCTCCCCTTCCAGCCCCTGCTGAGCACAGGAGCAGGGAAACCCCGAGCACAGACCTCCCAGGAGTCACGGCTTCTCCCGCACCTTTGCCAACAGAGAATCACGAGTCACTTGAGAAGCGAGTGCGAGACATTGTCAGAGGGTTGGATCTTCCTACGGGAGAAGAAAACCCAACTGCACATTTTATATATTACATTATATGTGATTGTGTACAATTTGCTGATACCCCGATGATGGTGTCCATGTATGGAATATTTGGTATTTGGCTTTCTCAAGACGGCATGAAATGAAATGTATAATTCACAGAGGTAACTGTTTTTTGAAAACTGTCGTGACAAATCCACTCTGTCGTTTCATCCTCTCACCTACGATTTGGATTTTTAAATTAACCTGTTGATCAGCTCACACGTGTCAATGCCAAGATTCTCAGTGGACAAACTCGACATCATCATATCGACTATGCTACTGGTTTAGCAGTTATTCACTGAGGGCAATAAAGTGAAAGTAGTAGCAAACGATCAATCCTAATAACCCACTCCTGGCATTTACCAAAATTACAAAATGACGTTTTTTTAGTCCATCTAAAATGCCAAATGCAGATCATCAGGTATTGTTCTATTTTCTGTTATATGTGCCCTGGTTTTTTGCTTCTTCTTTTATTAAGATTCATTTCCAACTTTTTTTCAACATTGATGAAAAATCGTTCAAATGCAATCGTGGTAGGTCAAGGGCTCATCATTTCCTGTAATGAATCATGACGATGGTTTGTATTTGCTACAGGTCTTTTTACCTTTTCAGTTTTCAGAACCAAGTGACATATATACGTATTTAATTATATCTTTGTATGTGTCATCATCAGGGTTTCTGGAGAACACGAAACATACATGTCCAAAAATATAACAATATGACGTATATATTTAGTGGAAAAACACACAGGTCCATACTGTTACTGTTTTGTCAGTTTGATATGTGGTATCACATGGAGTTCAGTTCAGATAAAAAGTTTAAAACAGAAAAACAAAAACCTATGTTAAATGCAAGAGGGGCAATAATTGTTTTCTTATTACAGAAAGAATAGAGAACTATATATATGTATATGTGAAAAGATATTTACGTACATTCTCATTTTTACATAGGAAATATTTCACGAATACGCCACAAGGATACTTGGAAGTTGTTTTTTTTAATTTACAGTATCTGTAACTATGTTATGTACAGATGAGGTATAGATATGAAAAAGTTGTATAAAATAAGTATCACACTTGGAACACCTGAACATTTTTTGGAGCCATTAGTTGTTGGGGGCGGGAGGGGTGGGGGGTTTGAACAACATTCTTATTTTATTGTCTGAATGTTATGGACAGCCTTTACTTTTCACATCATCGTTAAATAAAGTGAGACTGAAAATAATTGTTGATGTTTTAGAATCATTGCTGCACTTCTCCAAAGTATATTTGCATTTATATTGTTGATTTAACGGCTGTTAGCAAACTAGTCCATCTTTAGGGTTCCTAAAGGTCAAATCTTTCTTTGAAGTTTATCATGTTTTTGCAGACTGCTGAAATCCTTTTTTTATCTTTTAATTTTTTTTCACTCTGGTCACCCTTTAAACCCTTCCACAACCCTAACCTGGCGCACCTTGCAAACCCACCCTTAAAGGAACAAAGATCTAACGTGGCAAAATGTGCCTCTTTATTCCCCTTCCACTGAGTTCAATGTGTGAGATGAAACATGTTTTGCCATTAATTAATAAAAGCTCAAATTAAAATGCTACGCTTAGCACTCATCCCATTTCCATATCATCTGAATGTTTTCATTTTAACAGACACATTTCATGCAAGACGGTAAAATGTATGAAGTGCGAATGGATATTTGTAAAATGTGTAACAAAGATAATCACTTTTGCTATGACTAATTAGCTGAGCAATAGTTGTTTTACCTGTCCACCAAATATAAAGCCGCCTCTATGTGAATGTTAATATCTTAGTTTGAATTTCCCTAGATTACCTTTAATTTTTTTATTAAATATGAAATCTTGGCCATTTAAACAGTCTTGAACCAGTAGGAAAAGTGTTACAAAATGGATATCGGCCATCATTAATTTGGGGATTTTCCCCTGTAGATGCTTCAAAATGTCTGTTCTGATGAGTACAACCACTGACAGACAACAAAATAACCAAATGAATTAGAATTTGTGTTAATGTAAATCTCCCTGCTATGTACCAGTGATTCCCACAGCATGTTAATACTTTGGGGGGCCCCCAAAGTATAATGGCTCCCCCCAAAGTATAATTTGTGTGTTTTTTTGTTTTTTTTACTCAGTGAGCACTCATTTGCATTTGCATTGGTGGCAATGAGTGCTCAGTGAGTAAAAAAAACTTAAAAAACCATAAATTATACTTTGGGGGGAGCCACCCATCAATTATACTTTGGGGGGAGCCATTATACTGGTAAACAGCCTCTATGGGCGCGAGTCCAGACCCACTTTTGGAATCAAATGATGACGTCAGTGGGATTATCTCCTTTATCAACTCCTAAGCATCCCCGGGACAACATCACTAGCCCCGCCCCTAAAAAGGTGTGAACTTGAGCCAATCAAGGACTACTACTACTAGGTCGTCCTTAGACGAGTTTGCCAACGGGTTCGCCAATCCTCACGGTCCTCCATACACCCGGCCAGCTCTGTGGAGCTTTCCACCCCCACATCCTTCCTCAGCACCTCCACGTATGTTGGCGTGGGGGGGGCGCCCTCTTGGTCGGTGCCCGTGTCGATGGCAGTGACCTGCACATTTCAGTTTCCTGGATGCCACCTTGTCACTCAGCCTGGGTAGCCCACCAGGACTAGCCCCGCTCCTAAATTTTTGAGAGATTTCTGATGAGATTTGTTTTGGAGATTTTTCATATTTTTGGAGAGAAATAAAGGTGGGTGCAACTTACAAAATAGCCATAAAGCTAGTTAGCATAAAACACGCTAATTAGCATCTGCTAGCTAGTTACAAACGGTAATTAGCATCTTCTAGCTAGTTAGCATTACAAACACTAATTAGCATCTGCTAGCTACTTAACATTAAAAACGCTATTTAGCATCTGATAGCTAGTTAACATTAAAAACGCTAATTAGCATCTGCTAGTTAGTTAACATTAAAAAAACGCTAATAAGCATATGCTAGCTAGTTAAAATGTGTTGTCCCTGGGTCATCATAGATGTTGTTCCCATGAATTGAAAAAATACTGGCAAACTGCATAGGTAGCTAATTGTACGTTAACATTATATGTATTCACTCAGCAGGCATGGATAGTTTTGTTACCAAGACCAAGAGAGTTCGGCTTGAGGTTGTGCACCAGTGTGTATATAGTTAAAATAAAGTTATCCGGTGATTGACGATCAGATACCAGTGTGGAGTTTTCTGTCTTAAATTTGATATAGATCATGTTCTTTGTTGGTTTGTGAGGATGTTCATACACACTTGGTAAGATGTGTGTGTGAAAGAAGACTACAAAAAACAGCAGTGACTGCTCTCAGCTGTTTAACACTTAAAGGCCTAGACACCATCACCAGTTGTAGGTTGTCTGAAGTGCAGTGTTACTATGAAAATTCACTAGAATGCAGGAATTGAGAAAAAAAATCTCAACATTTTTCACGGGGGGGGGGGGGCCCGCCCCGAGTCGTTCCCCCAAAGTATATTTAATTTCTGCGGGAATCACTGTATACAGTGTGAGAAGAAACGGCAATAATTACTTTAATGTGTAGTGAGGCTTGCCAGGGACTTGAGGTAAGACCTAACCCTTTTAAAAAGCAAGACAGAGCTTTTAGACATTGGAAATAATCAACCGTCAAGTCAAAAATCTTGTTGATCCCACCCTCTAAAAAAGGAGAACTAAAAATGGAGGCATGGGCACCCTTGTGATTCCCTAGCCAGTCAACATTGAGGATGTTAATTGGCACATCAACAGAAACACAGCAGCCTCACACTGCCCTCACACACTGCAAAGGAAACATATATTTGCAATGAAAAGCCTTGCAAGTGGAGGTCGATAAATAATTTAAAAGTAAGGAGGAACTCAGTGGCAAACAGGATGGAGGCGAGAGTGTGTGAGAGGGTTACTGAAAGTGTCACTGTGTGTTTGCATCCAGCGTTCGGGTGTCATTCATATATGGTGTGAGTGTTGTCAGAGCTTTTCTTCATCCTCACTCAAATATTTAGCATGTGGATGCTAGACGTGGTTGCAAACCGAGTTCCTCTTGGAGCCGCAGAAAAGCAGCTGGCTGACGTATTCCTCCACTGTGAGTAACATAACATACACTGAAATATACTGAGTGTTGTCCCGCAGAAGGGCTTTCTTACAAATCAAATATAGCTAAAGTAGTAGTATTGTGATTTTAAGGGGTGTCCATTATCATCTGGCCGGGGACAACAGCTGGAAATGAGCAATGTTGGCTAAAGCTGCCTAATTTACTGTTTTGTGACAGTTGATCAATGGGGACTGTCCACGACACTATAAACAAATAAACTAAACTAAAACAGAAGCTGTACACCTGAGGCCTGTACTACGAATCCAGTTCAACATACCCTGGATATGTTTGAGTTACCCGGTTGACCTAATCCAAAACAAACGCACTCTCGCTAAACGGTCCTACGACATTGGTTAACTCGGTAACTCAAGCCCGGTGTGCCCTATCTAGTTATGTGTGCGCGTTCACATGAAAGGGGCGGGGCTAGAAACATTTGACCAATCACAAACATGGAGAAGCGTACTGACAGTGCAGCGTCATACTTCCTGAATGAAAAGTGAACTATAATATTAGACAAATATGAAGACGTTAAACATCCATGACTTAAAGGGGACATATCATGCTATATTTGAACAATATATTGTAGGGCCATACCTATATAAATATCGTTTTTTTTTTCAAAATACCTAACCAAAAAGATCCTGCATTTTAGCCATGCCTCATTTCGCTCCATTTGCTCTTTCCAGCCCTGTTTTTGCAGGGGGCTGATTCTGTGAGCTGCAGCTGACCACGCCCCCCTGCAGGAGAGGGGAACGTGCTTTGAGATCAGCTGCTGGGCTCAGAAGAGGGGGAGAAAAAGAGATCTCCGTCCTCCGTGTTTTATTCTTATATGATTATATAGTCATTTGTTTTAAAGCTCAATAAATAACAAAGAAGACCTTTGACCAGCACTTTTCAAATTTTGTCCGGAAGATTTAAACTTTAACCGACATGTTGACCGGCGGAAAAAAAACTAACTGAAGCTCAGCCGCACGGTCCCCTCGTTCCTTGGAAGAGGCGGAAAGGTGGGTTTTTGTCATCTGCTGGTGGACTAACCGGAGAGAATTACAGCGAGGGAGGGATTGCAATGAATAACAGCAGCAGGAGCAAAGGTTTGCCTCGTGGAGGGAGA